TAAAGCGGGAAATACAAGCTGTGATTCATCGGCTTGACATGATCGGGAATCGGGAAGTTTAGGGGCCGATTCAAATCTGATACGCGGATTTATTGAATCAGCTTGATTCACAAAATCTGTACCATTGTCACAGATTTTCTCATATCGGCCAGATTTTTCACGTTCTGGCAAATAATCGAGCCGACACATTGCAGCGTGTAGACATTCGATTCCTGAACTTGTCATCTTGATTCAACGGTTTTTCTCCGGGATTTCTGGTTTTCCTCTCTCCGCAAAACGGAACAAGTTAAATTGCAGTTTGATCTGTGAGTTAACCGTGCCCTGACTTGGATCAGCCCAGAGGTTGTTTCAGGGATTGTAGAATTGAAAACTGTTTGTTTGTTCTTCAAGAAAAGAAATCTACCTCGCACTTGACCAACAGGTCTAACGATTCATCTTTTTTTGTAGGTCAAATCTAAAGTGGCTTCGCTCATGTCTGGATGTCATCGATTTGTAGTCGAGCTGTTCGATACCTCGACTAGTATCGACATCGTAATGAGCGAGGAACTAGTAGCAACAGGACATGCGCAGACTTCGCCAGAAGGAATCCAGGTACTTGACAATTTTGATAATATATACTATATCAAACTATGTACAGTAATACGTCATTTTTTACGCGACTTGAAGTCGTGAAAGGCCCATCGGCCCTCTTCTTCAGTCGTTTCATACAAGGCTCGTAATTTACCTATTACGCATGTTCTTATGACTTCCGAGCCCATCCCACAAGGCTTACCGCCTCTTCTCTTAAGTACAGTGATACCTCTTTTAAAGGGGCACTTGGATGAAAACGCCCCAGTCTTTGAAAAGTCCAAATAATTGAAGTATTTGAGAATAATATGACTATGATTATAAAAACCAGATTAGTGAAAATTTTAGCCTGGGAGCCACTTGCAGATGAGAAATTTTGGTTTAAAAGCAAAAAGAACAATAGGGTTGAGTAAATGACGTCATTTACTCACAATTTAGATGCTGAATCAACTTGATAATTTTTATCCGCCACTTTTGACAGTGAAGAAAATATGTTGCTTGGCTACTATCTGGGCCATATAGATAAGTTTAATCAAGTTCGATAGTCATTTCCAATTTTCATTGATATTCATCCAAGTGCCCCTTTAAGCTGATACCCTTCATTAAATGAGCAGCTAGTTGACGGGTCGAGATGTTTTTCCCATATTTACTCTAAAGCCCCGTTTACACTGGCGATTTTTGCTGCAATTTTTGTGGCAATTTTCGGAAATATGAAATCTTTTGTTTCATCCTTCAGAAGAGACATTCGTCTAGGAAAATCTTGGTATCCTGAAAAAAAACTTTACAAGTAAATTCTTTACCTTTATTTATTATGAACAAAATCGCAAAAAAAAAAAAAAATCGCAGCGAAAATCGCCGCAAAAATCGCTAGTGTAAACGGGGCTTAAGACAAACCTTTATTAAGCAGTCGCTAGGTAAGTTTCCCTA